GATGAAGCTTTGATCAAGTCCTACGATTGGATGAAGTTTGATCAAGTCTTAGGACTGGATGAAGTTTGATCAAGTCCTAGGACTGGATGAAGCTTTGATCAAGTCCTACGATTGGATGAAGTTTGATCAAGTCTTAGGACTGGATGAAGTTTGATCAAGTCCTAGGACTGGATGAAGCTTTGATCAAGTCCTACGATTGGATGAAGTTTGATCAAGTCTTAGGACTGGATGAAGTTTGATCAAGTCCTAGGACTGGATGAAGCTTTGATCAAGTCCTACGATTGGATGAAGTTTGATCAAGTCTTAGGACTGGATGAAGTTTGATCAAGTCCTAGGACTGGATGAAGCTTTGATCAAGTCCTACGATTGGATGAAGTTTGATCAAGTCTTAGGACTGGATGAAGTTTGATCAAGTCCTAGGACTGGATGAAGCTTTGATCAAGTCCTACGATTGGATGAAGTTTGATCAAGTCTTAGGACTGGATGAAGTTTGATCAAGTCCTAGGACTGGATGAAGCTTTGATCAAGTCCTACGATTGGATGAAGTTTGATCAAGTCTTAGGACTGGATGAAGTTTGATCAAGTCCTAGGACTGGATGAAGTTTGATCAAGTTCTAGGACTGGATGAAGTTTGATAAGTCTTAGGACTGGATGAAGTTTGATCAAGTCCTAGGATTGGATGAAGTTTGATCAAGTCCTAGAACTGGATGAAGTTTTAATCAAGTCTTAGAACTAGATGAAGTTTTGATCAAGTCCTAGGATTGGATTCATGAAGTTTGATCAAGTCCTAGGACTGGACGAAAGTTTGATCAAGTCTTAGGAAGGATTGGATAAAATTTCAATCTTGATGATATGGGATGCATATTTTTATTTACGAAAATCTATAATGGTGTATGATACAAACAGAATTCCCCGTGTAATCAATATTGATCAACAAAAAGCCCAAGGCAACCAACATAACTGAATATAAATGTATAGTATATATATTTACAATATCAATTCCACAGCTTTCTATATATATATATAGTTTATTTGTGTGATTATATGGTATTATTTCCCTGTTGTTTTGTGATGAGTGCATCTAGCAGCCTTAGACGTGCTTTGATTTTCTGTAAAGAGAAACAAAAGTCGATGTTTTGCGTTGAAAAATACCTCACAATTCATCAAGTCATGTCGACATATCTCAATGGAGTGATATATTTTAAAAGTATGCCGAGTTTACGTCCTAAAGACTATTGGTCAAAAAAAGTTATTTTGAAATTTGAACTTGTGAAACATTCACAAAATGGTTGATGTATTTTCAAACTGTAATAGATATTGAAAACTGAATTCAAAGGGAGAAATAATAAAGCCAAAGCCGCTGATAAAGAAATAAAGCAAACCTTATATTCTTCGTAGTCGCCTTCATGCGAGCCTCTGTCTTCTTTTTGAACTTTTCTGAGAAATAAAAACACATCCAGATTATTATTTGGGCATATTGGTAAAGCAACTCTTGTTCTCGTTTGATGAAGCAATGAAAGTTGAGAAAACTCTCATGTAAACTCTCGCTTGTCAACTCTCATGCAACTCTTGTTCTCGTTTGGTCAAGCAATGAAAGTTGAGAAAACTCTCATGTAAACCCTCGCTTCTCAACTCTCATGTAACTTTTGTTCTCGTTTGACTTGTATTTCATTTATCCTGAGACATACCTGCCCGTTTTCTTCGCAAAATGATCCTCAAAAGCTTTGAGTTTTTTTCTTAATTTTTTCTTCCGTTTCAAAGCAGACGCTTGTTGTTCCAGGAGTTCGTCCCTATTCAGAGATACAGTAAGATAAAGGCAAAAACATTAGCCTCTCAAAATATAAAATAAAACAGTCAATGTTAAATGTTAAAATTTAAATTTTTTGTTCATTAACTTTAGAACCTTTTATACATGAACAAATAGAAAATAAATTTAAAAACATATACACATGGATGAAGGAAAAATAAATGTGTCTCAGAAAATTCTCGCCCAACAAAAGAATGCAAAACTTACGTTGAGGCTTGATGTAATATTGCATCAGGATCTTTAGCAGTCAAAAGCTCTTCCGCACCGTCGGTAAGATCATCCCCTCCCCCCGGATCATCTGCATCAAGTGTAATGTTTCCAGGCTTATCAACACATATAGTCAGGGGGGACACTGGAGACATGTCATTGTCGAATAAATTCTAATTCAAAAGAGCGAGAAAATGTTGTTATAAAGTTCTGTTCTACCTAGAGGTCTGTCAACCTTTATTTTTCCAGTGTTACTACAGGAGGAAACCTAAACTAAACTAACTTTATTTATACTGGATAGGTTTATCAGTTCTAAACTGTTCTTCCTAGAGGTCCAGTAAGGATCATCTCTTATTGATCCAGTGTTACTACAGGAGGAAACCTAAACTAAACTAACATTATTTATACTGGATAGATCTATCAATTCTCAACTGTTCTTCCTAGAGGTCCAGTAAGGATCATCTCTTATTGATCCAGTGTTACTACAGGAAGAAACCTACTGTAAACTAAACTAATTTTATTTATACTGGATAGTTCTATCAGTTCAAAACTGTTCTTCTTAGAGGTCCAGTAAGGATCATCTCTTATTGATCCAGTGTTACTACAGGAGGAAATCTAAACTAAACGAACTTTATTTATACTGGATAGTTCTATCAGTTCTAAACTGTTCTTCTTAGAGGTCCAGTAAGGATCATCTCTTATTAGTCCAGTGTTACTACAGGAGGAAACCTAAACTAACTTTATTTATACTGGACGCTTTCAAATTTCACAGATACAAACCTTGCTGGTTGTGGCTGGCAATGACTTGGCTAAGCGTGACACCGTCTCTGATGCGGTGCTGCCCAGCGTAAGCGTGTTAACTGAGAAACGAATACAGAGAATTAAACATAAATTCAAAAGCTCGCGTAAAGAAAGTAAAAATATCATTTAACATTTTTGTCAACATAAAAACACACTGTACCTAGCGAAACTGATGTCATATCCAACTCATTTGGTCGTTCGGGGGACGTTTTCCTGCAAAAGTTCCCAAAAATGAAAAAGTTTAGATCATTCGTACACAAAACTTAAACCTGGTTTACACTATCAAAGTTTCTGTGATCACAGTAGGAATTTTGCATAGGTAAATTCTAAGTTTCGAAGGATTTGTAAGAAATGTTTGAGGGAATTGACTCAGTGAGTCGGTTTCCTCAAACATTTCTTACAAATCTTTCAAAACTTAGAATTTATTATGCAGTGATCACAAAAACTTTGATAAACCAGGCTTTATTTGCTAAAATTCACCAGGAATTATTGCTTAATTTTTAGTTAATGGACTAAATTCACTAAGCTAGTACTTTACCTTCTGTCCGTTTTATCTTTCGATTTGAGACCTTGCGGTGACGAAGAAAAGTCTTTCTATATAAACCAGAAATAATAGAAAAGGTCATTCGAAAACTCCATACCTTTCCCACTGCATGAATTACATGCAAGTTATATATATAAATTATACAACGTGTTAATTATCAGTTTACTATAAAAAGGAGTACTGGCGTTTGAAAATGGAGCCCGGGCATTTGAAAAGGGAGTTCTAGCATTTGAAAAAGGAGTTCTGGCATTTGAAAAAGGAGTTCTGGCATTTGAAAAGAGAGTTCTGGCATTTGAAAAGGGAGTACTGGCATTTGAAAAGGAAGTTCTGGCATTTGAAAAGTGAGTTCTGCCATTTGAAAAGGTAGTTCTGGCATTTGTAAAGGTAGTTCTGGCATTTGAAAAAGAAGCTCTGGCATTTGAAAACCAAGTTCTGGCATTTGAAAAGGGAGTTCTGGCATTTGAAAAGGGAGTTCTGGCATTTGAAAAGGGAGTTCTGGCGTAATACAAATTAATACAAAATTTCGTAGGGCTATATTTTCCGCACTTTATAACATTTCGCATGCAACCAAACATGCTCTTTCTAGCTGTGGTGATGGATTTTGTTCTTCGTACCGAGATCAAAATTTAGTCCATAGCTGGAACTGCCTATTGATAGAAAATATTTAACAGAGTATAACAACATTCGCTTACCAAACTATAGTTTGTTATCTTTCGCTTGATCGTTCTGTAGCGATCATACAGTGGCTTCATTATATCTTTATCTCGCTTTGTTGTCTGAAATAGAGAATGCATTACTGTGAGATAAACTATAGAATTCGGACCACCACGTTTGAGAGATCTTTTTCAGGTAGTTCAGACACAAACCACGACAGCTCATTTCAGAATACTAGGCCTACTTACACTGAACCTATACGTTTGAATAAAGTAATAAGCATACCGGCCTTCCAAATGTGTTTTCATGTTGCAACAAAGCCTTCTGGACGGCCAATTTTTCATCTTGTAATTGATCTCGGCTCATTTCCTATTGGAAATAAACAATACAATTTTAAAGGTAAATTTTAAAGATCATATAATGTTCTCGAAGCGATATCCGCAGTCCACACTTGGCAAGCAAACAGAAGATAATATATTTTCACTGGAATCATAGACAATCCAGAAGACATCCAGAATGTCTTCTGGATTGTCTATGCTGGAATCTTACATCGACATTTTCCGGGCGGCTATTCGACTCTCGTTTTTCTTTCAATTTTCTCAAAGAATTTTCCAAAGATTGTTCCACATTGCCAGGCACTGTCGTTAGCAGAGGTTCTGTCCCTAAAACATCACATGAAAGCAATCAGAACTAGATACTAGCCGATTAATCGACGGTTTTGAAATCACGGCCATATTGGCGTTTTTCAACCAATAGAGCTATGTTTTCATTTAACCATTGTGTAATATCACGACTGGGTAATTATACCAACACACTGCCATTGTTTAGTTAGGCGAGAATACAATACACACGTGACGATAAATTGACCATTTCTTGCATAAACCAGACAAAAACATAAATAATGAGATCTATTTTGTCTGCATCGAGTTTCTTAACCTAACTGCAGTGGTGCCTAAATTACTTTGAATTTGTAGTCGAGTAAAAGTAGAAGTAATTAACAATAAAACGACTTGAGTAAGAGTAAAAAGTACTGGCGGCAAAACGTGCTTAAGTAAAAGTACAAAGTATCCTTAAAAAATACTTGAAGTAAAAAGTAAATGTAAAAGTACTATTGTCTGTAATCAACCCTCGATTCAACTTGAGTTACTCTCGCAAAATTGAACAAACGATTTATAAACATGACTCATGATTTAGCTATTTAGGTTTGTTTATTTATAAGTAGTTCCATTGAAGAGTAATACAGGACTTCACTGAAAATGTGGATGTGAAATGGATATTAAATTATATCTACCTTTCACAGATGAAGGATTTTGAGAGGGAACTTCAAATGACGTTCGTTCTCCTGTAGGAATGAAAAAACATCTTAGCAAAGAAAGATATGAGCATACAAATTACACAAAAATAAATTATAATCAAACCTTGTAATCTCTTTTCTTTCATTTCTGAAATACAAACGAAAAAACAGAGTGAGACAGTGCGCCAGTTACTTGAATAAACTAACGTCTTTTTGCAGCATACCTTGCATCAATCGTTGTGTTTTATTCAGTTCAGATAAATACTTCTTGATTGGCGCTCTGTCCTGGGCTTGTGTGGGCTACAGTTCAAGAAAGACAATTTATTTTGAATGTGCTACTACCATTTCCATATCAATAGAGACGAATTGTTTCGTATGTTTGAGAAGAATATTGCGTTCTCACATACCTTATACCCATTTTCTTCTTCAAATTTCTCTTCAAAATCTTTGATTTTCTTTTTCATTGCTGGAAGGAAAAAAACACAATGCTCATTTGGTTTCATTAAATCAATAAGAGATGATCCTTACTGGACCTCTAGGAAGAACAATTTAGAAGCGATAGATCTATCCAGTATAAATAACGTTAGTTTAGTTTAGGTTTTCTCCTGTAATAACACTGGATCAATAAAAGATGACTCTTACTGGACCTCTAGGGAGAACAGTTTAGAACTGATAGAACTATCCAGTATAAATAAAGTTAGTTTAGTTTAGGTTTCCTCCTGTAGTAACACTGGATCAATAAGAGATGATCCTTACTTGACCTCTAGGGAGAACAGTTTAGAACTGGTAGAACTATCCAGTATAAATAAAGTTAGTTTAGTTTAGGTTTCCTCCTGTAGTAACACTGGATCAATAAGAGATGATCCTTACTGGACCTCTAGGAAGAACAGTTTAGAACTGGTAGAGCTATCTAGTATAAAGTTAAGTTGTGTAATAGTTGAACTGCTGACTTACATTTAGCGCGTTTGCTCAATTCTTTCAGCGAGTGTTCTCCTTTAGGTGAGGTGGTTGGCCTGGACAAAACAAGAAAATAACATGATAGTATAAACTCTGCACCAAACCAAATCGAGAGATGAAACGAAGCTATTGCATCTTTTTATTGAGCAAGCAGAATAATTCAGACACAAATCATGTTAATAATATATGTATGAACTCACTTTTTGTCCATCCAGAAGTGAATTTCCTGTTTGGCAGGGGGCGATGGCGGACATTCTGACGAAAAACTGGATGAAACAAGGAAAAAATTAAATCTACACGAAGATTGCTCTGATATGGTAAATACATAAAATATTCATGTCAATGAAAAGTTACATGTACCCTCGAATTTCCCTTCTGGAGCGGGGAGATACCATGGCGTCATCAAAGGCACCACCGCTAAAACAATTACATAAAATAGATATCAGTACGCGAACACAGTCAAGACGTTTCCTTGAGAAATTTTCCTTGACAAGTTACAATTTTTTTTACAAGTTACAATTTTTTTTTTCAGTCACTGAAACTTAAACCCCATATTCAATACACTAAAAAAGTTAATGCATGTTTTGATGTTAATAGGCCAAGGACTTGGAAAACGTTTTGCTCTAAATATCGTTCTTGTTTTATATCTTGTTGTTCGTAGAAGTGTTCGCTAAGAGTTTTTGTACGAATGTAACTATGTGTAATACCGTAAATATCTAACTAGCTATGTATTTTGTTAATTTTATAACCGTTTACAGTATAGCATAACATAGTTTAGCGTATGGCAGGACTTAATCTGGGACTTTATTAGTCCTGTTGTCTGTGCCTTCAATTTCTTATTGTAAAACTAATTAAAAAAATTTAAAAAAATACGTTGACAAGTTACAATACCTTGACAAGTTACAACACAACACAACACAAGTTTATACAACACAACACAACACAATACATTTAACGTGGGTAACACTAATTACATACATATTCGCCCTAGTGGCCCTAAGTACCTTGACAAGTTTACATTCTCGTGTGTACGATCAACAAGTTTTCCTTGACAAGTTTTGTACCTCCTGTGCACGGAATGTTGTTAAACATTTATCTCACATCAAGGCCGCCTTTCTTTTGTTTGCCAAAACCATAGAAATATTTCTTGTACACTTGTCAAATTTTCCTTGGTGGTCGTACACATGAACAAATTTTCCTTGTCTAAAATCTCGCATGACTAGCTTGGAAGGAAGGAATTGCAACATACATACCCATCGTATCTTTCTCGAGGTGAAACCATCGGATCATCTGGGCAAAAATAAATTTCATTAAGATTAGTTTACAGGCAACAAAATATGATCTTAGATCGTATACCTTCCACCTTTCTAAAAATCCTACCTTCCGTTCTTTCGGCCAGTTTGTACAACTCTAGCGGGGGGATAATTGGAATACATTGCTATTAAAGAGAAAAAAGAGCATACGTTTGCATAATGGCCGTGTTTTTTGAATGGTGAATTGTTCATGCGTTTTACCAATGTAAACAAGTTGTTACAAATCTGTTCACAAGCTGTCGACAAGTTGTGTTCGCACTGCTTGTTCCCAGTTGTTGTTACAAATCTGTTCACAAGCTGTTAAAAACTTGTAACAAGCTTGATGGCATTATCAGACTTGTTACAAGGTTATTCTAACAAGCCTGATACAGTCATGATATAACAAGAATGTTACAACGTTGACGACACAAGGTTGTAACAATATTATTATATCATGAATGTATCGGACTTGATGGAACAACCTTGCAACAAGTCTGATCATTAATATCAACAATGTTGTTCCAAACTTGTTGACAACTTGGGACAAGCAGTGCGAACACAACTTATTGACGGCTTGTGTTGGCAGCCTTGCTACAAGATGTGAGATTGATCTTGTAGCAAGTCTGCCAACAAGCCGTCAACAAGTTGTGTTCGCACTGCTTGTCCCAAGTTGTCAACAAGTTTGGAACAAGCTGTTAACAACTTGTAACAACCTTGTTGATATTATCAGACTTGTTGCAAGGTTGTTCCAACAAGTCCGATACAGTCATGATATAACAATATTGTTACAACCTTGTGTCGTCAACCTTGTAACATTCTTGTTATATCATGACA